ATGGATGTGAAAGGTAGATTGATATCCAAACAACTAAGATTAACATCATGATACGAATGTGAAAGGTCCAAAAGCAACAACTAAGAGAAACATGTTCATTGATAAAGAGGGTAACATGTTCACTGGAAAAGTTCTACTGGGGAAATCTTGAGAGAATTGAATCAGTGACCCCTTGTAATATTCTTCATGAGGAGAGACTTCTGTAATAGCTCCCGGAACGCTATCTGTCTACTTCATTTTCTTCCCTGCTACTACCGTTGTTTCATCGACCACTGTTTCTACGACAATTGTTTATTCGACCATTGTTTCTACGAGGATTGTTTCTAAGATAAATCACACCTTTGCATTTCACGGGAAAAAGCACAACATTTTCTATACAGAAAATGATCCAGAACACAGCAAGGATGTCAAATAAAGCGGTGGTTATAACGAAAACTCTTGCAATGGTAGGATAACCAGCTACAATAATATCATATCCACACATAACCACCCCATTGCTATCAAAGTTCAAAGCATCAAAGTATGAGGATTGGAGTGCAGCCCTAGGCTTGGAATGGGATACAAGGTCTTTTTTGAGAAATCTTGAGGCAACAGACACAACTGAAGGATTAAACCTAAGATCAAAGAACCGTAAAACTTGTGCTATGTATATAGATAGACACACACAATAACATATTTTCTCTACACTGCTTCACGTGCCTTGGCCCTTTCAAGCGACATCATGATCTTTTTTTTGTTATATAATGTGCTCTTCCTTTCTCAATCAATCACGCCTCAACAGGAGTTTGAGCTAGCACATAGTCAACCTTATAATTTCTCAATTCTGTGATGGTTTGTGATGATAATCATACTTTTTAATGACATTATCAAACTGTATTACACTATTTAAGACACTAATTTTGATCACTCTCCACATCGAACTCCTCTATCACATTGTTATAAACAAAAGCTCTTGTGGACTTGAGAATTGAGCTTGTCGCGCGTAGCGCAACTCTTCCAAAATGAGTTTTTAAAGTAAAAGGCCAGATACGTTATTTGCTACGCCGGACAGGAGGATGTGCCCACTGGGGGTAACGTCACCGTTTATCACATGTCAAAAAATGGAGTAGAGATTCTACATAATCGGGAGAACATTAATGAGTTGGTGGGAGATGTACAAGAAGAAGGAAGAGATGGGGCCGAAGGCGAATGAAATTGAGATTCCTATTATTATCTAATTTATATTTTAAAAAGATTTCGAAGTATATGATTTAAGTAGTTAAGTTTAGCATCTTTTTAGAACTTTGAATTTGTAAAAGAGTTTGTGGTTTTTATGTGGCTTATGTAGCCATAAATATTGATGCAAATGCATAATCTTTTGGGAAATTTTTTTTAAAAAAAACATATTCGTATAAGATCATGCTCAACATATTCGTATACCATCATGCTCAACAGTTACACGTTTTCTTTAAGAAAGTATCAAAATTTTTTAGAAAATAAAGATGTATAGTGCATCGATCTTAGAATATAATTTCAAAGTTTTTTATATGTACAAGGGAGTGGAAATAATCCAAATGATCAACAGTAATAACATTCATTAAAATTTATTTTCTTCAAACGAGATCATGAAATAAATTATTAACTTACAAAATTTGACAATATTTCAATACCAATGATTAAGGGGTATATTAAACTTAAAGCAATACATAAGTATTGTTGATCAAATGCATGCAACAAACCACACGTAGACAGTAACAAATGAAATTGTGAATATATCCAATCAATTGTATTCATCATCACTATACCACGGAGAGAGGTAAATAAAACATTAACTACAAATTACTTCTTAAAATTGAAATAATAGCATAAAGCATTTGTATGTTACTAAAGAGTTAGAATATAACAAAATCATACTTGGAAGACACCGTAATTCGACCCTCTTTTGTATTAAAAGGTAAGAACTGCACATCACATCCGACACCACAATTCGGCCTTTTTCTACATCACAGCTATCTCTATATAGTTTGATTGGTAAACTGTTCAAAAGAGGCAGGTAGGGGAAAAGATTTTAAGGACAATTATGTTTTTATACTCATATAATCGTAATGAAACTATCAGATATAATAGAAACAATTAATTGACAATTATGACTAAGAATATGAAAAGACTATAATAAATAAAAAAAGACCCAAGTTTTTTTTGGCTAAAATAATGAAGGAAGATGGAAAGAGATCGGTTTTATTGTTCCACATATAAGAGAAGATACTACCAAGATTAAAGTTTGGGAAAAAATTATATTGGTAAACCATTCAAGAGAAGAGGAGGGTAGGGGAAAATGTTTAAAGAACTCTGTCTCTTTATATTCGTATAATAGTTATGAATTTTAAGATATAATAAAAATAATTAATTAACGAGAATTATAATGAAGAATATGAGAAGACAATATAATAAAGAAAAATATGACATTTTGTTGTGACAAATGATGAAGGAAAACGAAAACAAATTGGTTCTATCAGTTCACACATGTCGGATAATATATATATATGTGTGTGTGTGTGTGTGTGTGTGTGTGTGTGTGTTTTGATAATTATGACTAAGAATGTGAAAATACTATAATAAAGAAAAGACTGATTTTTTTTTTGTGGCTACAATAATGAAGGAAGAGAGAGATCGATTTTATTATTTCACATATATAAGAAGATACTACCAAAATTAAAGTGTAAGAAAACCTTTTATTGGTAAATCATTTAAGAGAGGATGGTAAAAGGTCTGGAGCACTCTTGTCTCTTTATACTCATGTAGTGGTTATGAAGCTTTAAGATATAACAAAAATAATTAATTAATTATTGTGGTGAAGAAAGTGAGAAGACTATGATAAAGAAAAAAATGAATTTTTTTTGTGACTAAAATAATGAAGGAAGATGGAAAGAAATTGGTTTTTTAATTCACATATGTGGAAAGATAATACCAAAATCAAAGTGTGAGAAGTCACAAACACCTTTTTTTATATATATAGGTTAAATATAATAAGATTGATGATTAATTTTGGGAGATCTTATGGCAAGCATCAATGCTAATAATCTCAACAAACCGCTCCAGTCTACACCAATCTAACTCTTACATACAACGATATTGTTGGGAGTATAATGACACCGTTTTCACTCGGCAACCATACAGATCTATTTACTCATTACTTCGCAACCGATTCCTCTCGATAACTCAACTCAATTGGTCATAACGGGGAAGGGGATGATATTTTTTCACCCTCTATTTTTATTATCGCATCTAATCTTAACGTTATGCCTTCAACTAACAATTTAACCCCATGCCTTCAACAATAAACTTAGTACTTGTTCCGCGCGTTACGACGGTGCTGTAAACACGAAGGAGTAAAAAGTCTTTAGTTTTGAATGGCATTGCTAAAAGATAAAAATGGTTGTGAGTGTGTTGATTCACATTTATTTGATAGATTTACTAACTCTTTATACACGATGAACATAAATCAATCTAAATTATGATATTATATCGTACTTCTTCCGACGCTTATAATAAGACACTTTGATTTGTCCTGAATTTTATTTATTTAGTTTTCTTTATTGGAAATGAAAAGTTAAGAATATTTTAAAATAATTGGAAGAAAACAATAGATATGAAAATATGTTTTTTAAGGTTTCATTTTCAATTAGAAAAGTACAATAATTGAAATTTAACATAAATAAAAATGTCTTATGGTAACGACCAAGGGAGTAGTTTAGAATTTCAAATATAACTACTTTATCGTATAATAAAATCTTAATAATGTTCCGAATGTTAATCTTTTTTATTTTTTAGCAAAAAGATAGAGGAATCAATGAACTATGAATAGAAAGGCACAATACACTTAGAGGGTATACCTTTAAGATTAATATTGTAACCCCCACCCTTAGTTATTAGACCCTCTGATTTTATTCCATCTCTTTATAATCAAAAGAAAACATTCAGTGCATACAACTTACCTTTTTTACATCATGCATACCAAGTTCTAACATATGGGAAGGAAAATTGATCTAGAATCAATAGTCCTTTTACATCACGTGACAATGAAGCTAAACTAGTATACATTTCAGAAAAACAGTTATGTAATAGATTGGAGAGACTAGCGAATTTAAAAATAACAAATTTAATCCTTGTAATAGAAATCATAAATATATACCTTCCAAGTGGATGTTTTTACGGCCTCATACAGATCTGACACGTGTCTAGAGAGATTTTTCATTTAAGCTAGAAATCTCAATTTGTTCTGAAATCCTCCTCTCTTAATATCTTTACATTAAATTCAAACCCCAATATATTAATGAAAATAATATATTAATATTAATAATAATAATAATATGATAATGTTAATATGACTGCAATATATCAAATTTTATAATGAGTATAATATATAATCATATGATAATTTATACAAATTTCAAACAGTTATTTTTTCTACCCCATGTGACATCCAAAACCCTTTTTTTAGGTATATAATTATAATAACTATTATTTGTATTATTACAAATTATAATTATACATAAGCTTAAATCTTTTTTTACTAATTTAATTTTTTCCATAACAAATGATTAACACACAGGGGATATGCCCAAACCAACCATCTAGTTTTCACATTTAATCCAAGAGCCAAAATGAAAACTAGAACACAGATTGCTATTTTGTATTGCATCTATACTTTTTTTCCTTGGTCAGAAGGAGTAGTTGTTTTTTTAAAAAAAAAAAAAAAGAAAAGAAAAAAGAAAAATGGAACTGCCCAATGAAATTTGAATTGTAAATAATTATTTCATTTCTCAACTCTCAACACAATTATTATTTATTATTGGCCCAAAACGAATTTCCATAGTACTGTTTTAGTTTTAGATTTTGTATTAGTATAGTACAATAAATATAAACGTGATTTCCATTCTTGGATGAAAGTATTATCTCATTGCGAAATATGGCTACACCCTATTAATTTGTTGAAGTTTGTAGCCCCATTTTCATAGCCATTGGTTTTTCATATACCTAGTCCCTCTAAAAAAATGTATAGTTTAACAAACTTGACTTCCTTTTTGGGGCAAGAGGAGGATTTGGACATTTTCCACATTTTGAAGCCCAACGAAATCATAATTTTATATGTATACAATGATATGTTAACCTTATCAATATGGATTTACTTCATAATAATACAAGAGATAGAATAATTTTCTTATACTGAGATTGTTTCATGAAATTCTGAAATTACGGACATTAGAGACACATAACAAATGGGCTCATGCTTGAATGCCTGAATCATAAAAAACAGGAGTGGCTTCAAGCTGCTCGGCAAAATTCTCGAGAATCTCTTTCAGGAGAACCTTGAACACATTTTCTGATCCGCCAACCTTACTGTCCTCCACACTGGAAAAAACCGTGTCGTAAAGGAGAACCACCATTTCATCAGCACTTAGAGGTGGCAAACCCAAATCTTGGCAATTCTCATCAAGGAAAGATCTGATTATCTCCTTACTTGTTTTTGCATCCTTTTGATCAAGTTTTTTCTGCATCAACTTTTCTGCAACGTCATCTAAGCACTTTTCATCAGCTAGAACCTGCAGAACCAACCATTTCAATCAGTTCAAAACCATAATTTGTGTTTGTAACATTTTGATGATTTCATTACTTTCTACATCATTTATGTCCAACAAGCATATTCAAAAATTCTTCTGGTTGGTTAAATAGGTGCTAGTTGATCCTCTCCAAAGCAAATGGTCGCAAATTATTGTCTAACTTCAGCAAAAACTGACCTTTCCATTCACGTCTAAGAAGAACAGCAACTATACTTGTAGTCCTTTTTTTTTTCTTTTGAAATGGTGTACTTGTAGTCCTATTTCTACAAATAGTATTCGCTTGACAACCTCTATAGTAAACTATTTCTACCAACAATATTCACTTCACAACCTCTCTAATAATCTAGTTTAATAGAATCATCTTTACTCAGAATGTCTATTATTCCAAATCGTCCACACCAGGGATTGCAACACATATGAACACAAATGTAAAGTGTGCGAAAAGAAGGAAATAAGAAAGAAAAGAAGGTCTACTAGCTAGTAAGCTTATAAAAGAAAGCTAGTTACAACTTCAAAGATTAAAGATATTACACCAACAATGCAGGCTGATAAAGGCATTATATGAGCATTCAAAATGCAAAACAGCACATAAAACTTAGAAGAATTTCCAAATTCCATATCAGTCTACCACAGAGCAATATGCAATTTTGAATCGTTCATAGCCAGATATATCTTATTATACATGCTGACCAATTACAAATGTTATATCTAAGATCACTGAAGAAGCTTAAGAATATGGAATACTTTTAATTCTGAGATGGCTGAGTCCATCTTTAGAATATTGATATTTTTCAAGACTGAAATCGGCTTAAATGTACATCAAATGTTCCATAGTTACAAACTTGCGGTAGATCTTTCCTCTCATATTCTTTTCTTTTTCTTCAATTTTGTTTACACTTCTACTCAAGCGGTACATTCTGCATATTCAGGAACATACAGAGAACCTTGGTACGCCACTCTGCACGTGAGGTGTGTCCCCCCACAAGCAAAGCAATAAGAAAGAAAAATGCATTATGTTCTACAGCTTCATCTTTGCCAAGGGGGAGTCAGGGCAAAGAGGGCCTTATCACCCTAGGTTACAGCTTCTTATGAAACTATTTGAAAAGGTTTATTTCCTAAATTTCCAACCCTTTGAGGGAGCTTGCCATGAGGGTCTATACATCTGGTTGTCTTATTCATGTAATTCTTTCTTTCTTCAAAAATTGGTTTGACAATCAGACTAGCACCATTATCAATTCAAATGACACCCATAGCTACAGTTTTATATCCTCTCATGTGAAAATTATTTCATTTGCTTATCATTACATCAATAACCAGCAAGCAGATGCTACATGAGAAACTAAGAAAAGTAGTTATGCAAAATAATTACTTAAATAAATTATTATCTTTTTTGAGACAGGTCAAAGGTCTAACTTCATCTCTGTTGGAAGAATTTATCTATTTCTTTAGCTATCCCAAATTTTAAACAGAATCAGCTGCAGTCCAGATATGATGCTATAAATAGGATTCCATTGTTATCATGCCACAATATTAAAGAAATTTACCTTTCTTAGCTTAGAACCGTTAATGATCTTCACATTTTGTTTGACCACAACACTACTTTCACCAAGAGCATTTGCCAGATCTTGGAGAACGGGTTGAAGCAACTGTGCAAATTGTGCCTGCCCCAGTTCTTCTTCAGCCACAGCTTCATGCTTTTTCAAAATCTCACTTAAAAGAGGAAACTCTGCCAGAGAAAGAAACCAAATTCTGTCAGTATACTTTACTTTTGACACAAGCTTAATGTCCCGGTTCACTAATGTAGAATGTTATCGGCCGAAAAAGGAAAATGACCTTATTTATGCTAAAAACAAATCCATATGGAATAACGTGAAGTTATGAGCATTTTAGAAACTCGGAAAACCATACAAGTGAAGCAATTAAGAAGTTACACTTCTCCTTTTCTTTTGCCTTGTTTCATGTCATAGGGTCAATTGAGGAATTTAGGTCATGAAAAGCACGGATGACGTTGTACTGTAAAAGACAGACTCAAATTCTTCTTAGGATCAGTGGTTTAACAGATTGGAGGTTAATCAAAATATGAAGAATGAACGAGTACTAACATACAGAGAATTCATCAATCATATCTGTTTAGAATTTTTAATAACATGAGAGTGAGAAATATGAAGCCCAACTATAGCTGAGAATTTAGAAAATCAAAAAGTAGAAGAGTTTCCCCAACATCTAGACATTGTAAAAGAGGTATCAGATCTTGGGGCAATGATACTGAATAGTGGACCGAGCAATTTAAACTCTGCTAAAACAGAAAAAAGAAATCAGAAAAAGACTAAGTATTGCACAACATTTGCAGAGTTCAATGGGGATTACAAATAGTTCACGGGAAAACTGCCGGTTCCCAGATCCCTGTTTTCTCCTTTTTTTCCTTTCGAAAAATTTACAATTTCAAATCAATGTCATCAACTAATCCTTTCTCTGATAAGGTTCGAGCAGCAAGGGTTAAGTTTTTATTTCAAAATTCTTTCTTATTCTTCTGCTGTGAATAAGGGACATGATACAAAAATTACCCGCAAAAGGAATCATAGTTCAAGGGAGAACACTTTTAACAATCTAAACATGTATTTGAGCTTTGCAAAAGTTCTTGCGGACATTCAATCATTAAAGACTATCAGTGACAAAAAACATGCCATGATAAGAAACTCTGGACCTAAAGACCAATGGGAACCATCTGGATTACTTCTGCAAAAGATTAGGCCTAGCAACTGAGATATTAACAAGCATAAAAGTGGGTAAATGGAAATATTTAAGATTCCACAGAGATCAGGGGAGACAAGATATTCGTACATTATTACAGTTTACTTGCTCAGAGGATGATGCCATAAACGAGAATAATAAGTTCTGAAGTTTTGCAACACAATTCAATTTGTCAATAGTCAAATTCAGTGTAGATGGACACCTTTCAACTGAGCCTAGAACATGATCAATTGTGCAAAATGCTAGCTTTCATACTTCTTTTTTTTTGCGCATATATACCATTCTAGACTTCATACTTCAGTCACGTGAAAAAAGTCTTACTTCTGATAGGATTAACAAGAAAATAGAGTTTTAACTTAATGACTTATGAATAAGTGAAGAAGAGGCCAATCAAAAGATTAACTTTGTTAAACATGCAAAAATTTGAACATCCAACACATCTAAAATTCAATATCAAAATTTAATTCATAGCGATTAAATTATTGAAGGACTATCTAGGAATTCAACGAAGTTAAATAAACAAGTCAGCTGTCAGAAATATTAATAAATATCATCAACCTCAATTCAATTGACAAGCAACAGCAACATAGATATCACTTCTGGTAATTTATTTAGATAAAGCACACTGGAGAGGAGAAACGAAATCAACCTGACACGGGAGGAATCCCCATTTCAATTCCCATATGAAGGAGAGCATTGTGTATCTCACTCTTCCCAATCTTTCCTCTATCTTCAGTATCCAAATCAGTGAAAAGATTTTCAGCTAACATTGCAAAATCATCTTCATCATCCAAAATCATTTGAAGAGTCTTTCCATCCAAAATCGATAAAACAATTGGATCAGCTGGTTAGACAAAGTAGAGATTATTAGGATTTCCCTATTTAGTTTCGATAAACCAAGACATAAAGGCAGCAGGATAAGAGTAAAAAGAGATTTTGTTTCACAGAAGCAGTGTCTAACCAAAGAAAAAAATAAGGTTATAAAGTACATCTTTCCCAAAACTAAACTTTGTCGGGTTGTGATACATATTATGAAGTACAGGTGGAATTTGACAATGAAGAATAGAAAGTTCAAAATGATTTAATTTCTTCGTCATTTTGAGGCAGTGTGATTATTATGCACTGGTTTAGACTGGAGTATGTTTCCGGTTACAAAACTGTGAAGTTTGGATTTGCTATGGCTCAAAATCTAGTTCAGTATGCAATAGAAGCTTCAGATATTATTTGAAAACCTAAACGGAAGAGTTCAAGGACTGAAGGGGAAGATCATTGAGAAGCCAACTACTCTTAAGATCCTTCACCATTTCTAAGAATGAAATTCCATAGTTACTAAACCTTGTTCCTCCAGTTCATACTTATTTCCGTGAATCGGTCCGAAAGTTGTGAGTGTTCAAATGAGTCCGATGACATCCCTTCTGTTTTGAGAAATGATCAATTCTAATGTGCAATAGAAACTAACGCAGACAATTCAGAGAATTGGAAACATTGTGCGATAGAAAATAGAGATCACGAATTAATTGTCCATCATAAATCAAAAGCAAGAAAAAAATTACTAATAAAAGAAACATTCAAGTTAATCGAGTATCATAAGTCAAGTGTTACCTTTAAGTTCATCGGCAGTAATAGAGACGTAATCACGAAGAAAAGTAGCGGCACTTTCAGGATCGAGCTCCTTAAGGCGGAAGTCACCGAGGTTACCCGATACACCGACGCGTCGGAGCACGGCGGACTTGAGATTTTCCGGCAATGCAAGGCCGGAGAATGATTTCGAGACTCTCGATTCCGCCAACTCCAGTAGCTGAGCTCCGGTAAGGGCGTCGCCAGGCGAAGGCAGAGTTAAGTCCAGAGCTCGGAGTTGCGATCCGTCAAGTATCGTCGATCCTCCGTCAGCCATTTTCGATTTTTTTTCTAAATTACAATTTGATATGGTTTCAGTGTTTCGGAAAGGGGTTTTGCAGGCGGATTGGGGGAATTTGAATTGAAATTGAATGTCAAACGACAGAAATGAGGAAAACCGCGTGATTGTCCTTCTTGACTCGTTCTTATACGGGTCAATGGTCGGTGCCGGTGGTGTATAAATGTGTCTCTCTCTGATTTTTAGTACTCGTTTTTTTTTTTTTTTGGAAATACTAATTGAGAAGAGATTCGAAATAATAAAGGAAACAGTCAAAAATAACCATTTATAAAATGATAATGTTCAAAAGTTAATAAATGTGTAGACAAAATAACCATTTACCACTAAAGGTGCACCAAAAGTATTCAACAAGGCTTGAAAAAAAAAGGAAAATTCAAGACAACAATCAATGAGCAAAATGAAATTCAAATTAAAATTAAATTTGTACAAATTAGTTTTTTTTTATAAATATATAGAACGTAAAATTATCCATTTCTTTTTTTTTAATCAATTATTCTTTTTTTCGCTACTAACATAACATTTTCCTACTATTAGCATATGTATTTTTTTCAATGACCAAAATAAAATTGACTAGCCGAACTCTTAAATACTCCACAACTGAACATATTTTGCGCTTAAGGTTTACAAGGATGTAATACAAAATAGACTACGCCCAAAACGTAATGCGTCAGCAATTTCCCAAATTGGATTACACGCAACAAAATATATTTATACAATAAATGACAAAAATTAAAGAAAATCATTTCACAATTTACGTAGATACTATAATCAGGTGGAGAATATGCATTCTAGAGGCCGAATATAAGAGACTACATGTACTAATATAAATGTGTTCTTTTACAATTCTATGTGGGCGGTGGATTAATATTTGCATTTAAAAGACTTTTGGTGTTAAAAATTTTAAAAAAAAAAAAGTCAAAAGAAAGAAAAATGAAAGAAAAATGTGCTTCCGATGTGCAAACATTTAGAGAAGAGAATCAATAATTTATTAAAAATTTTATAAAAGACGAGTGAAGACCAAAAAACTCTTTCGGTCATAATATTATCTTTCAATTATACATCCACAAGAGCAATAATAGTGAAACATTCTGAATGTTGTTGTAAAATTAGAGTCTATGTATATTGATTCAATGCAAAGATAACTAATAATTTATTTAGTGATGATATTTTATTTACTTCTCTGTTAGAGACTATATTATTATAATATAATAGCAAACCTTATGAGATTTAAAAGGAAGAAAAATAGGTAAGCATAAGGAGGAGTAGGAGGAAAGAAGGAGAGGAAGGGAAAAATTATTTTTTTAGTGTGTCTTTCTCTCCTCTGAAACTCATATATTTATAGAAGAAAATGTGGAGACAGCATGACTCCATTTTCCTGAGCCTATATCATAGGCATTTGACCTTTTGGTCATTTACCTTTTTACAACACTCCCCCTTAAATGAGCAAATAAATTACACATATAACACTACCTCGTTAAAAACCTTGCTAAATAAAAACCCAGTGGGAAAAAAAATTTAGCAAAGGGAAAAAGAGTGCAGTGCGTAATTATCTCCTCCTGATTATAACATCGGTAATTCTTCACATGCTGTGTAAATGACGCATTCTGATGTTATGAACATGTTTTCTGAAAAGTACTGTAGGAAGTGACTTTGTAAAAAGATCAGCTGAATTCTTACTGGAAGTAACATATTGAATATCAATATCATTATTCTTCATGAGCTCTTTGGTATATGCAAACAATTTTGGAGGTATATGCTTGGTCCGATCATTCTTGATATATCCTTCCTCCAGTTGATGAATACTAGCTGCATTATCTTCATATAGAATGGTTGGATTTTTCTTGACTGGAAGACCACAAGACGTCTTGATGTGTTGCGTCATTGACCTGAGCCATACACTTTCTCTACTTGCTTCATGTAATGCAATAATTTCTGCATGATTCGAAGAAGTAGATACTGTTGTTTGTTTCTGGGAACGCCAAGAAATTGCAGTTCCTCCACATGTGAGCACATAACCAGTCTAAGATTTTCTATGGTGAGGATCAGATAAATACCCTGCATCTGCATAACCAACTAACTCTTGTTTCGAATTGTTAGAGTAAAACAAACCCAAATCAATAATTTCTCGAAGATAACGAAATATATACTTGATTCCGTTCCAGTGTCTTTTGGTAGGGGATGAGCTATGTTTTGTTAATAAATTAACTGCAAAAGAAATATCAAGTCTAGTACAGTTAGCAAAATACATAAGAGCTCCAATTGCACTCAAATATGGTACCTCAGGACCAAGAATTTCTTCATCATCTTTAGCTGGACGAAATGGATCCTTTTCATCATTTAGTGTTCTGATCACCATTGGGGTACTTAAAGAATTTGCTTTATCCATGTTAAAGCGTTATCTTTTCTGTATAATTTGATTGATGCACAAATTTCCATTATGCATATGTTCAATTTGTAAACCAAGACAATACTTAGTTTTTCCAAAATCTTTCATTTCAAATTCTTTCTTTAAATACGCAACAACTTCATCCATTTCTCTATGTGTTCCAATGATGTTCAAATCATCAACATAGACAGCTATGATAACAAATCCAAATGTTGTTTTTTTAATAAAAACGCATGGACAAATAACATTATTGATATATCCCTTATTTATCAAATAATCGCTTAAACGATTATACCACATGCGTCCAGATTGCTTTAACCCATATAACGATCTTTGGAGTTCGATCAAATACATTTCTTTGGGTTTTGAACTTGAAGTTTCTGGCATCTTAAATCCTTCTGGGATTTTCATATAAATATCACTGTCAAGTGACCCATATAGATAAGCAGTAACAACATCCATAAGACACATTTCTAATTTGTTAGAAACTGCAAGACTGATTAAAAACCTGAATGTAATTGCATCCATAACAGGAGAATATGTTTCTTCATAATCAATTCCAGTTCTTTGAGAAAAACCTTGGGCTACAAGTCTAGCCTTATATCTGGTAATCTCATTTTTCTCATTTAGTTTTCGTACAAAAACTCATTTGTATCCTACAGGCTTTACGTTTTCAGGAGTGAGGATAATAGGTCCGAAAACTTTTCGCATGTTTAGCGAATTCAATTCAGCTTGCATAGCATCTTTCCATTTTAACCAGTCATGTCTATTTTGACATTCTTTAACTGATTTTGGTTCAGGATCATCATTTCCATCCATAATTTCACATGCTACAGCATAAGAGAAAATCTCATCATTTTCTTCGATTTCATCTCTATTCCACAGTATCCCCGTATTGTTATAATTGATTGGGATTTCTTTTATCATTTCCTTTTTTTCTTCTTGGGGAATTTCTTTGCTCTGTCTTTCTTCAGAAATAGTTTCTTTTGTATTGCCTTTATTTTCTGTTCCCTTTTTAGTTCGGATATTTTTATCTTTTGAACCAATCGGTCTTCCACGCTTCAAACGTGGTTTAGACTCTTGAGAGACTTTATCCTCAATTTTCAGCTTTGGGATTTCAAACCGAGCAGGAGCATTAGCTGCTGATATATGTGATTTAGTCACTCCTTTTGAATCCACAAAAGCATCTAGCAATTGATTCGCAATTGCTTGTAAATGTACAATCTTTTGTACTTCTGCTTCGTATTGCTTTGTGCGAGGATCAAGATACAATAATGATGGTTCATTCCATGCAATATTCTTAATTACTTCTTTTCTTTCTCCCCCTAATGTTGGGAAAATAGTTTCATTAAACTGACAGTCAGCAAAACGTGCTGTGAAAACATCGCCAGTCAAAGGCTCAAGATATTTAATAATAGAGGGTGATTCAAACTCAACATATATTCCCAATCTTCTTTGAGGACCCATTTTGGTACGCTGTGATGGTGCAATGGGTACATATACAGCACAACCAAATACTCTAAGATGTGAAACGTTTGGTTCACGTCCAAATGCCAATTGCAATGGGGAGTATTTGTGATCCGCACTAGATCTTATACGAATCAATGAAGCAGCATGTAATATTGCATGACCCCAAACTGAAACAGGTAGCTTTGTTCTCATAATTAATAGTCTAGTAATTAACTGTAGTCTTTTAATCAACGATTTTGCCAAACCGTTTTGTGTATGTACATGAGCAACAAGATGCTCAACAATAATTCCAGTAGACATACAGTAATCATTAAATGCCTGAGACGTAAATTCACCAGCATTGTCAAGTCTAACCCTTTTGATTGGATGATCAGGGAATTGAGCTCGTAATTTAATAATTTGTGTAAGAAATTTTACAAAGGCAACATTACGGTTGACAATAAACATACATGAGACCATCTACTAGATGCGTCTATTAGAACCATGAAATATCTGAATGGTCCACTTGGTGGATGTATCAGTCCACATATATCACCTTGAATCCTTTCAAGAAATACATGTGATTCATTTTGTATCTTTAGCGGTGAAGGTCTCAATATTAATTTTCTAAGAGAACAAGCTGTACATGACAATTCATCCCTTTGAGGGATCCTTTGTTCCTTTAACGGATGTCCATGAGTATTTTCAACAATCCTTTGCATCATTATTGAACCTGGATGTCCAAGCCTTTCATGCCATAAATTTAACATTAAATGATCGAAGGATTTTGATCTTATTGTCATGTTTGATTCAATGTATGTATAATGCAAACCATTAGCAAATGGTATTCTTTCAAGTGTTTGAATCTTTCCAGGCTCATATCTGATGATTTTCAAATATTTTACACTATCTATAGTCGTAGATTGTGTATCATACCCATTTCGGTATATATTATCAAAACTCAACAAATTTCTCGTGGAATTTGGAGAAAACAAAGCTTCTTCAATTTCAAACTTTGTTCCTCTTGGCAATGTAATTTTGGCTTTACCAATTCCTTCAATTAGATCCACAGGACCTGATATTGTTTAAACTATTGCCTTTGTTGGTTTTATTTCAGAGAAATATTCTCTATTTCTCAAGATAGTGTGCGTGGGACCACTATCTGATATACAAAAGTTTCCAACGCTGCTTTTACTTTGAGTTTCACTGAAATCCATGTCAAACTTCAAAAGAAAGATAAATAATCAAAATTTAATAATACATGATAAGATAACAAGTTTGTTGAACAAAACAAAATTCATTAAAATAATACTAATTGACAATACAACACTATTACAGAACCTCATTCAATATAATTATTTATTTAGTGCTTCAGTTCTTAACATACAATAGAAACATTCAAATACATTTTGATAGTTTCAAAATTCAGCAAATTCACTTGCAAAATCTGAAGCATTCAGCTGAGTTTGACCATTAACCTCCATTTGATCAATATGCTCATTGAAATTTACTTCTTTTCCTTTACCCTTTGATGAGGCATAAAGCTCACAAAGGTGTTTTGGAGTTCTACAGACTTTTGCAAAATGACCTTCAGTACCACACCCGTAACATGCATCTTCAGCATTCTTTTGAGGTTTTTCTGGAGTATCATTCTTGGTTATTTTAATTTTCTTTTGAGGCTGAGCCATTATTCATACGAGGCATTACCATGATTATAGCCATACGGGGCATTACCATGATTATGGCCAGAAAATTGTTTCCTCCATGGTCATTGTAGCCTCCACGGCCACCATAGCCTCTACTACCTCCATGGCCACCACGGCTACCACGGTTGTGATCACCATGACCACGACCACGACCACGACCTCGGCCACGTCCACGGTCATTAAAATTTCCAGAGTATCCTGAATTTATGGCGTTTGCCTCAGGATATGCCATCGAGCCAGTAGGTCGTGACTGGTGATTCTTTATCAAAAGTCTATTGCATTTTCTTCTTGCAAAAGTGTCGTTGACAAATCAGAATAATGCTCGTACTTCATCAATTTATGAGCATTTGAAAGAATAATACCAGATGGATGAAATGTTGACAGAGTTTTATCTATTATTTCTCTGACAGTCTTAGGATGTCCACAAAATTTTAATTGTGACACAATCCTTAACAGTGCTGAATTATATTCATCCACACTTTTAAAATCTTGGAATCGTAATGAATTCCATTCATCAATAGCATTTGGCAATATAACTGCCCTTTTATTATCAAATCTAGAGGTAATGCTTTTCCAGACAACAATGGCATCATCTTGATCAATGTATTCATTTTGCAAACAATCATCAAAATGTTTGTGAAGCAATATCATCACAGTTGCATTGTCTTTGTCTGAGGCATTGTTTTCAGGTTCAATAGTATATGTGAGACTCATTGATCGTAAATGTGTTAGAACATTCGTTCTCCAACACATATAATTCTGTCTAGTGTGTTTCAGAGCCTCAAACTCGAGCTTTGATAAATTTGACATTATTGGCAACTAAAACATAAAGAACATAATTAAAATTTCATTCCCTAAATAATGTAACGATGAAAAATAGTAAATATTAGAATTATTACATCAAATAAAATACAAAATAATATAACATATTATTGAAATTCAAAATACAAGCTTACAACTTCATAATTTTCCATATAAATATTGCAACAAGAAACAAAATTAAAATCCAATATATAAAAAACAATGTAAATAAAATTCTCTATCATCTAAATAAATTAAAGATATAATAAATACTGAAATTATTGATAAAAATAAAAAATAGATATGCCAAGACATTTTTCTGAGAAGAGGAAAGAGGAGAATATGTGAAAATGTGTAAATGAGATTTAGAAACGATGTATTTATAGAAAAATTTGAAGATTATAGCCGTTATAGCCGTTTGAAAATAACGGTTATATACGTGTTATAAATATTATAATATTCTATATGAGATGAAGAATATATATAAGAAAATAAATATCATACACAAATATATAGCACATAATAATTTAAATTTCAATAACATAAATTATTGAGAAAAAATACTTAGGGATTTAAAATTACCCCACAAATAATATAACAATCTAAGAATAAATAAATAGGGATTTATAAAATACCTCATATTAAATTACAAAAATAAACAAGCAGGCGGTACAACCGTCCTTTTAATTAAATTGCATGAAATAATAATAATTAAACGAGTAGGCGGTATTGCAATAAATAAATAATTAGGAGGTATAACCTTCCATATTGAAATATAAATACTGAATAAGAAAATTTATACTTTTGCTGATTGCTGAGAGGGTCGTGCTGATAACGTGTTGTAAAACTAGAGTCTATATATATTGATCCAATGCAAAGGTAACTAATAATTTATTTAGTGATGATATTTTATTTACCTCTCTGTTAGAGACTATATTATTATAATATAATAACAAACCTTATGAGATTTAAAAGGAAGAAAAATAAGTAAGCATATGAAGTAAGAGGAAAAAAGGAGAGGAAGGGAAAAATTATCTTTTTAGTATGTCTTTCTCTCCTCTAAAATTCATGTATTTATAAGAGAAAATGTAGAGACAGCATGACTCATTTTCCTGAGCCTATATTATAGACATTTGACCTTTTGATCATTTACCTTTTTACAACAAACGTTACATATTGATGATTTGTTATTTTAGAGTTGTTCTAAGTCAATACCTTTTAAATACTATTTAAGAATAGAAAGAAAGCAAAGAAGCAAATGACGATTTCGCTAAATGATGAGACCACTATTACCCAACGACGATCCAATTTACTGAAAGAAATTTAATTGTCACCCTAGAATACTCCCTTTCCTTTAAAAATATCTGAAAATAATTCCCATTTTCATAATAAATAAAAAAAGCCAAGTTAAATCAGTAATTCTAGTATTACAATTGATGTTATTGGTATTATAATATCAAGGTTAAATAATCATACATCATACAATTGATGATGTAAGAAGTATTCCCTTGTTCCAAAAAAAAATAATTCACAATTTACAGGCTATCTTTTCTGATTTCTTACAAGTTTTGTTAGTATAATTTATGTGTAATCCATCTCCTCATTAAACTAGACTTAATCTCATTGTTTTTGTTAGATAACTTCGATAGTTTTAGGTTTGAATAAAAAGAAATGTTATTACAATTATATGTCAGTATTCGTCTCCAAGTACTAGCCTGCAGTGCAAGTTTGCTGTCAAAGCGTTCAGAAAAGTGAGGTATTTATTTTCCTTTTTTTTTCTTTTCTTTTTTTTTTTTTTTGAAAATGTAATCAAACCAGAATGCTTGTATAACATGTATTCCATTCGTCCTATTATAATAAAGGTAATGAAATGAGAAGAAAGGAATATATTGTTTAGAATATAGTTTCAATTCCAGAAAAACTTACATGCGTGACATCCAAGTTACATCATGATCAAACAAAAGGTGGTAAATTCTCATTCATAAATGAAGTCCAGACTCCAGAGAATTCGAGCACATAATATCTAAACTACTAAGCTAAGTTAAAGAAGTCACTTTCTCTTCTTTGATTTCACAGGAGGAATTTCAGCATCATCCTCTGAAGAAACCTCATCAGGTTCGTCAGGAACATCAGTTGGTACATTGTGCTTGGTTAGATATTCCTTCAAGACACTCATGCTCTGCTCCTTCATTGAAACCAATTGCTCAGAGAGATCTCCCTTGTTTGCCATGACAGAGTACGATTCTGATCCGAGTTGAAAAGTAGCTTTAACCAATGGAGGAAGAGATGTAGCATTGGGATCTTCCATTTCGTCTGCACTGGAATTGTAGCAAGAGTTATATTACTGCTCAGACAAAGAAAGAAGCACATAACCAAGCCAGATAAATAATATGATTTTGAATGCAATGGCTACATTAATTCAACAGTATTTCAGGTAATTAATGAGTCCAGCAAGAAGCTGCTCCATGATCAAAGATGTACGGTATAAAGTAACACATTTCAGGTTTGTGTTCATTCTGCACTTTTTTTGCACTTGTTTTGGATGCTTATAAAACAAACTACATACAAGATACCAGAATCGGGAAAGCAACACGCCAATCGACAATGCGGACATACTGCAGATATGATTTAAAACCACAGCTATTTTAGAATTTTTGAGAAGCTGCAATGACATTATTATACGGGAAATAGAGCAGTCCTCTGGTTCAAAGGCAACAGCAGAAAAAAGGTTACTCGAATTTTAACACCATTGAAATAACTGCAACTGATATCAAATCCTTCACAGGAAAAAAGAGTCCTGAGATCGGATCTAAATTGAGAAACAATGACAGAATATATAACTATTTATTCTTCAGTTCATCGAGCATCATGTTGGCTGTGTTCATTGTTTAATGTTCTCCCTCAGCAATGGACAAGTAAACTGGTAGATTGTATATGAGCTTTCTTAGTAACAAAATCCACAAACAAAAGAAAAATGGTTCTCCTTCCATAAATGAGATTAAAAACAGAAAATCAGACGCATGAAAGCTTACTCCACCAAAATATCAATCAGCTATTTTCATGTCAATTGAATGGAAAAGAAATCTGAAAGACTTAAAGTGCTGTAGTATTTGGTATTTTACTAGTTAATTTGCAGCTTGTTTATATTTCGACAATAGTTCAGTCAGTAGACTCAGGATAATAGTACCATCTAATGATCTTCAAAGTCAAGAATGGAGATTTAACATGGAGGTGAATCTTGAAGAAGTGTCTTTCAGCTTTTCCCATCCATATGAAAAGCGGAAGCAATAATAATATTTTTGCATCCATGTTAGCTAGATAGAACTACAGCAATAGTTTTCTGTTTCCCTAATTAAAGATTCCTCTTAATGAATTAAAATGGGAATCCGTTCACAACCGAGTAGAATATACTTCTTGCCAAATAGATCAGGCAGCTTTTGCTACGGATAAAAATCCTACTCTATATCCCCAGGCAGCATGCATAGCTAGCACATGCGTCTAGAAGCTGAAAACAACCAATTAGGACAGTGTAAAAAGTTGTTCATGCAATATATGCAATGAAACATACAAGACATGACACCAAAACAACTCAAAGAAATCCCAAATTAAGCTTGAGTTAAACAAAAGAATTGACAGCAGGGCTATATAATATAATTGACAGATACTTCAACTAATAAAAAAAGAAATTTAAGATACCAGAAATTTTCAAAAGAAAATTACTCTTCCTTAAAACCAACCAGACACTGACTTTAAGCACGTAGTTCACAGCAAGCACTATATCAAGCCAACGATTGTTAGGTTAACGAGAATCAACAACAAAACTAACTTGGTTGAAATCCCGGGAGAAAACAAAGAAATCCAGAATACTCCTAAACACAAGTTTGAGAATAGTGCTAAATAATCAAGCCAGCAAAGAAATCTTTCAGGAAAAGGAGCTTCTGCAACTTCCATATTCCGAATTTAGGAAAATAAAAAAAAGAGGACACTCATGACCTATAAACCAAGTCCAACACTTCTATCCAGGTGCTAACAGAATCCTCGAAGGTTGGGAGATGCTTTAAGCGCAGACAACCAACCATGCACTAGCAATGTGAAAAATATAGATCACTACAAATACTACAATTCACATAAACTGTTTGTTCAATCAATATTCCATATCCAAATCAATCAAGAGAATGAATATTAAGCAAGTTCAGTAGTCGGTAGGAGGAGAAATTTGACATGGTTTTGGTTACCCTGTCTAAAGCATCAGACTTGACCTAATCTTAAATTCTCTTCACCAATTGCGGTGTTGACAACCGTTAATAGCTAGAGGAGCATAAACCTAGGAAATTATTCCACAAATCATTCTGAAAACATCAACACAGTTCAAGCCTCTCTCAGAATTCAAATCTCTACTCAATGTCATTCCGCAAACTAATATACCGTCACCAAGCCGAAGGACTATCGTTTATCGTAACTATATTCCACTTAACACTTATCTTCAGTTTATTAATCCAACATCCACAGACTAAACAGCAATCTCAAGAAAAAGACAAAGTTCAAGAACAATACTGCACTCTGAACCAAAAAAAAAAACCCAATTCAACAAAGTCTAGAATTACAAAAACCAAAACTAATGAGTACAGGAATAGATAGTTCTTCCCACCTAACAAAATCACAAGAACATGAAAATTAGAGTAAAAAAAATAAAAGGGTTTTATTCTGACCTGAAATTCGACGAGAGTTTCGTGAAAAGCTTCCGCTTCTTGAAGTCAGTTGAAGATTTGTGGAATCGAATAAGAGGGTTTTAACTTTGACCAATTTATATTATAAAATAGGACCCAGTACTCGTCAAAAAAATTATACATTTACCCCTACAGTTTTGCTGTTTTATTCTTCTGTTACCTTCCCCAAAATTTGGCAAATTTGTTAAGTGCACTTTAGATTGTGTATGAAAAATTAGTTTCGAAATTTGAGCATTCTGAAAATATTTTGTTTACCTCAAATAGTACTAGTGTATTATTCACTAGATTGAAGGTAGTTGATTTCTTATTACAAGTGTCTCTTTAACAAAACCTCAAGAAATGGCAATTGAATGAACACCCTCTAATAATTTGATTTCTCAGGGAATCAAGTATAAGAATCACCCTCAGAAGAAACCGAACAAGAATCGTAGATTTACAATTTGGAATCAAATGTACCATTTATGGTAAAAAAAAAAAAAAAAAAAAGAAGAGGAGGAGGTAGTACTAGGTGATTTTGTTAGGTGATACACATAAACAACCAGCAGAAACCAAGTATTGTGTTCAGCTTCACTGATCACGCCTTCTTAACAAATGCAACCTTCAGGCTTCAAAGTATTCAACTGGGAAAATCCGAAAAAAGGACGAATACGAAGAACACATTGGTTTCCAAAATGATCACAAAGTGCAAAATCATCCAACAAGAGAGCATTTACTTGGCCTCTTTTGCTTTTGCTGATTACGATCAAAACTCTTCTATCTGGAACTAATTTCTATGTGGAGGAGGCTCGCAAGGGTGTTTTTTTTTTTTTTTTTTTTTTTTTGTTGATAGGAGGATTGGTAAGCAGAAGCGGGTAATTGACATTCAGAATTTTCAACGCCTTAACCTGACCATCATGGGATCTCAAGCCAGGAAAGATTTCTTGATATGGCCTTTAACTGCGTGAACCCTGAGGAGCTTAAAGTAAAAAAAAAGAAAAATTACTTCTAATTCTTGATCCTGTTTGAACTATTCAGGGCTAATTCAGACAATAGAAACATTTTAAACAAAACCAAAAAAAAAAAAAGAAAAAAAAAAGAGAGAGATAATGCAGAATCCCTTCCTCATGATGAAATATCAACAAAAAAAAAAACTTACAATTTTCACAATCTCACCATTTGCAGAACAAAAAAGAAAATGACCACAATAGTTACTAAAGAGTTTAAGGAATGTATGTAGTAACACATGCTAGGGACGAGGGAGGAAAAATTCAATGTGTAAATAATATGTTACGACACTTGCCAACGCAACAAAGATTCCCAATATTAAGCAAATATATAAAATCAAATCCAAGTTCAAGTGACTGCCAAAAGCAGTAAATGTGGATTTTGCTTCAAAGGGAATCCTATACCAATGCTACTAGCTCAATCTGTGGTCAGTGGTCTTCAATCTTCTTCAGAGCCTTCATATCTGTTGTTTCCACCCTGCAATGGACCATCAACAAAATATTACAGAAGTGAAGAAAAGGATTGACATAAGAGGATTGAGTTTTGGCTCATAGAGCCCAGCTGAGTCAACCATCTAAATCAGGCACTATGAAAGGGAAAAGTACAATTGATGTTACAGATAAGCATACAATTATATGAAAAAACAGAGCAGGAAAACCACATAATCGGTTAACAGAATGGCCAGTGGATGATAATTTGAAAGCGTTATTCAGGAAAATCATCTTCACATTATAATATTGTTTCTATTTCTTCCATGGGAAGTAACATAACTAGAACTTCTGTCCCCTGGCAAGCCATAAAGCATAGATGAAATTATATGCTGGCAAGTGAGAGGAAACAAGACATGTTCTGCTATTAATTCAGAACAGCAAAGGAGTTAAAGGAACCATTTTAAGACATACGTTGCGACAGGCATTGAACAGAACATGCCAAGCAGGTGAAACAAGATATAAACCACAATGAAATCTACAAGGGACAGAAAAATTTGACAGCAGGAAGAAACAGAAATATGTTTGCGACAAACTTACGTAGTTCCATAAAGAACAATCTTTTGAATCTTTGTAACTTCGGATTCAGACTGATTATCCTCAATAAAGATCGTCAAGCTGTATCATACAAATGACAATCAAGTTATATTCAGCCAGACAATATTCTGTTCAAAAGTAGAAAAATAAAAAATAAAACACACCTCCGAACATTTTGAAACTTGACGTACTTCAATATTACAGGTTTTCCCTGCACAATGAAGGTGTGTAAGTGCTGAGAAAGAGAATTTTGCTCTGAAGGATAAGATCTAAGCCTTCCTGAAACTTGAGTAAACACTAAAAACTACCTCAAGATTATCTTCAGATAGAATAGCTGTGTCACTAGCAGGATAGTCATTGACATTACTGCACATACAACAGAGAAACAGACGGATTACTCCAAATATAAAACTAAACAAAGCCAAACATTAGCTATTGGAAAGAATATTGAGGGCAAAGTTACCTGAATCCCATGTGGTCCTTGTTTGAGAAAAGTTTCACAGTTTTAGGACCTGCAAGAAAGAAGAAATTCAAGATCCCAATAAAAATAATCATTTTCTTTCTTGTGGATTTCAGGTTCTCTTTTGATTCACCCCCCAATGCACGCAACAAAGTTTTTCAGTCCCTGAAGACTAATTTCAGGTTCTAAATCCAAAACTGACTTCAAACTTTCCCTATGTCAGTGTGAGTAATTACTTACATTCAACAGCTAATATAAAGCGATGGCGGCAAGTAATGGCTAAATGATCTGAACTTCTAAGTTTATGAGCAGTGGCTCAGATTACTACCCTTTGACGTTGCCTCAAATCAATGGACTATTTTCAATATTTGTAAACAGCAATTTAAGCAAAAACTGATTACTATGTTTGTACCAGTAAAATAATAGGAAGAATATATTAGAGAACAAGCATTTTACCAAAGAAACTGTTCTTACTAACTAACTAGAGAGCAATAACTTATGACATTAACATTTTAAAAACAACAATTGACAGTACCAGTGTATGCATACCTTCGTCCTTTGGCCCTTTGATAGCGATTGAATGTAGTTTGACAACTTGATTGAATGGTATATATATCAACAGCTGCTCATCTGCATCGCTCTCCAGAACCAGACCATCATCCTCCCTATATCCCTGATGCAAAAAATAGAAACCTCAATACTAGCTATAGAGAACTTCTCTCAGCAAAATAAATATTATACAAAAAACAAATGTATGCTGTATGCTTTGATACATCAATGAGTTTTCCAACTCAGGAAATCATGTGAAAGAAAAATCGCAGTTGCAATTCAAAGTTATGAAGATAGGCAAAAGAATAACAAACAGATAATTTGGCTATGTTTCCCAAACTATACTTCCATTAACGTTCACATACATGGCAACCCCTGCACAAGTCACAAATAATAACTTTACCATGCAGGAAAACAGTTTCAAGCATTAAAACTTAATGGTTATAACAGAGCACTCTCATTATGACAGTAAACAGACACTGGTAATCTAGCAGTTTCACCACTACCCCAGAAACCCAAAAGAGAAAAAGAAGGAAACTACTACGCATTAAGAGAAGCTGAGGGTTCTTGGAAAACAAAGAAGTGGATGTTTCATCGTTACATAAAGAGGATTCTACTATACAAGTCAAGACGATCAACGAAAACATACTCAAAATCAATAAAACTTCTTGCTTGTTACAAAATCACTTCCATTGTACCATATCCACTCTTAACACCAAAAAAACACCACGCATCTAGATTCAATCACTGTGAGGATATGAGTTTGACATCTGAAGTATGGAAACTACAAAAACCACCTCTGATGATCATTTTAACATGATTTCAGAGTATCGGTATACAGAGCAAAAACTTAAAATAGCAAAGTGCCAGCAAGACTAAAGTAACAAGCATTTTCAATTAAAGATGACGTGCAGAACATGAATTGTTTCTTGCAGAGCCTAAAAAGTCATCATTCAATTAATACATTTCCGTTATTTAACATAATTTATAGCAGTCAATAATTAAACCATCCCTATAATTTTAAAGAGGAACCAAATGAAACTGATTCTTTCCATTTTTCCTTTGGATATGATTTGACACAGGTAAAACAAATCCAATAAACAAACTCAATCACTGTGAGGATAGGAGTTTGACATCTGAAGTATGAAAACTACAAAAACCACCTCTGATGATCATTTTAACATGATTTCAGTGTGTTGGTATATAGAGCAAAAACTTAGAACAGTAAAGTGCCAGCAAGACTAAAGTAACAAGCATTTTCGATTAAAGATGTCATGCAGAACATGAATTGTTTCTTGCAGAGCCTAAAATATCATCATTCAATTAACACGTTGCCGTTATTTAACATAATTTATAGCAGTCAATAATTAAACCATCCCTATAATTTGAAAGAGGAACCAAATGAAACTGATTATTTCCATTTTTCCTTTGGATATGATTTGACACAGGTAAAACAAACCCAATAACAGCCAAACCAACATAAAGGGTAGCAGTGAAACAAAAGATGATTATATGTCTTTTCACCTATAAGATACTCCCTCCGGTTCTGATTATAACGCACAAATTTGAACTAATTTTTGTGTTAATTTGTGCCATATAATTCGAACTAGAAGGATTATCACTCCAGAGTAATATAGCACTGAAAATATGACTTCTCAAACCTAAAAATAATGTCAGATTTCTTTCATCATGGAAAGGATAATTACACAATACATCCTCGCCCCCCCCCCCCAAAAAAAAAAACATAAAATTGAATATATGCAGGAAAATACAACTTAAACGAGTACTTAGACAGCATTAAACACGGGGAAGCAAAGTATTATCAATAAAGCAAAAGGAACCCATTCAATTTTTCCTATCTTTTACCTGTTTAAGGGCATTCGGAAGAGAGTTTGCGCCTTTTTGGTTAAGGCATTCAACACTAGACCAGTCCACGAAGTCCAACAAATCAACCTAAATGATAAAATTCCACAATTATTTACCTTGTTCTTTGTTTCCGTTATTATAATCATCAACAATTCAAAAAGAAAAACATATATTGAGAGTTTGATCGATGGAGAAAATTACTTGGCCTCGCTGAACAGAAGAACCCGATTCGGTAGACATGGCTGATTTGGTGATGCAACTACAACTCCACTGACAAAGAGCAGACAATTTATTGGCAGACGAATAAATGCCTAGATTCCAACCATTGATCAGTATTTCAGATAAATTGCAAGAACCTTTTAAAAATAATTACATGTGTGTAATGGAAAACAAATCACCACACTAAAACCTGACATATTTTCATAATTTTTAAACATTCAATCTCCTTCTGCCACTTCGATATTCCAAGTTTAGGGAAAGATGAAAGCAAAGACTCATGAACAATAAAGTAAATCCAACAATGTTATCCAGGTGCTAACAGAATGCACGAAGCTGGTACTATGCTCCAAGCACATAGAAACCATAGCAATAACATATGGAAAATCAAAATCACTACACAGTAAAACTACAGTTACATAGACTGTATATTCCATCGCTATACCATATCACAAAACAATCAAGAGAACAAAGATCAAGTAAATTCAATAGTCCTAAGAAGGAGGAATTTTGACATCCTTATCCCTGTCAAAAGAATCAGACTTGACCTAAACTTAAATTCCCTCCACCAATTGTGATCTTGATTACAGTCATAAGCTAGAGGAGCATAAACCCAGTACATTCTTCCAGAAATCATACTAAAAGTAGCCAAACAAATTCAAAGCTCTCTCTCAAAGTTCAAATCTCTAAGTTAATGCCATCCCGCAAACAAATACAATGTTCACCAAACCAAAAGACTTTCTTTTATTATATATGTTCCAATTAAAACTCATCCTGGATTTGATAATCCAATAACAAAAGACACTACGGCAATCACAAGCACAAAATAGTTCGAGAAAACATGCACACCAAACTTAAAAAAACCTAGAACCCAATTTCCCAAAATCTACAGTTACAAAGTACAAATCAAAACTAATGTGTACACGAATGCATGATTCTTCCAGCTTAACCAAAATAAGAGGAACGTGAAAATCAAAGGAAAAAGAAGGGCTTTACGCTGACCTGAAGAAGAAGCTAGCAAAGCAGAAATCCAACGACTGGAGGGCGAAGCGAAAAGCGTCCACTCTTGGAAAGCAGTCCAATAAGACGGGCTGGGCTGCACGCAATATTGGTGCTGTTCTTGTTTTAATTTCTTTCGACAAAGAAAGATTATAATAGCCCCTATACTTGTGAAAACTATAAATTCACCCCTAAAGTTGTGCTATTTTGAAGTTTCTGTTGTTCTAGAAGGTGAATTTCATTAACTTCCACAAAATTTGGCTAATTAGCTGAACGCACTACTTTATATTGTGCAAAACAAAATTAGCATCCAAAACACATATTTTGTTTGGTTGGTGATTCCGCCAACATTATTTCTAGCATCCAAAACACATCATTCAAACTACTAAAAGAGCTCGCTCTTGAGCATCTCCTCCCGTTAATTTTCCCCCCTCCTGTCCGCGTGTTGCTATGTGGTGTATCCAATTCTGCCCAATACCTATGTGTAATTTTCTGGTATTTTTTACTTTTATTTAATTCCCAATGGAAATGTACTCATCCATATGTCATTGTTCGTGGTGTGTTGGGGCAAATTCACCCACCTCGATTCGAGTGGGATAGTGTGGTTTATTTGTTTCTTGTTTTTTTTTTTTGTTTTCAGTAGTAATATACCGAGTAGGACATCTTTTTTTATTTTTTGTGCATTACCGCCATAAATCCCCAATAAATTGATATAATTATACCACTTTTCTTTCCTAGAAATCATTCCAAGCATGCTCTCAGCTATTCCCAGGCATTGCCGCCCAAAGAACATATAATTTATTCACCTTCTAGTCTATCAAATGTAGATTTTAGTTACTGAGAAACTTATTTTTTTAGACTTGCCCTTATTTTCTGTCTTACTCTTCTTTCCTGTTTCTTTTTCCGTCTTCTGCTTGAGGTAGCAATAAGGATTGTTGTCTTCAATATTCAACAAATGCAACCAGAAAGATTTCTCTACTTTCTTTTCTTTTTTTTTTTTTTTGCAAGTCATGGCCACCATCGCAACCATTCTTACCGATGTTGCTTTCACCATCTACGATTTCAACCTAAACACATACTATTCCGGCGAGATTAATGCAACATCGCACCACTATGCCTAACAAATCGGAATTAGCTTCGACATTTTACCGTTTGATTCCATCTCTTTGGATGTTGACTTTACGATTCAAATTAATCTCAAGTTATATTTGTTCATGAACCTTTTTCGTCATGGATATTGGGTTTATATTAATCAATTCCTACTCTCCTTATATTCATACTCCAAATTATTCCTTATACTTTTTCTGTTGTCGTTATTCATTCAATAAATTTCCGAGCTAATTCAATTTCTTTATTTTATTTGTGTGTGTTGAATTTGTATTTTCTTTATTGCCTCTGCATAATAGAGCCGTAGAAATGGTTAAGAGATGGTTTAAGAATTGGATTTGAGTTGGTTTTTCTTTGCATTAAAATTTAATGACTACTCCAAGATACATATTGTACCAGGTTTATCACTACTATTTTTTTTTTAAAATGAAGCTTGCCTTTCGTATTTCATTTTGCCTATTTTTTTTTTTAATTTAATTTCTTTGTTTTCAATGATGAAGAAATCATGGCGGAGTTATTCCATGATTAACTGGTTTTGAAGGTTGTCACCAGAGAGACATGGAGAAATTTATCACCAAGAACTCCAATCATATTATGGATGCTGTGAGTTTCCCGTCATTAAAACTTCATCTCTGTGCATGAACCAGAGATGCATGAAAAGGGTATGTCCTCACAATCACTTACTATTGTAGTTTGATTTATAATAATTATTGTTCTTCGTTTTGTGCTCTGTTTGGTCCAAAAAGTAACGGTTTTTACGATATCGGTAAATGAATGTATATTGAAATGATCTGGACTGGCATCTTGTGCAAAATGAGTTCTAGACTAGCTTTTAAACTTGCAATTGAGCTTAGATTAAGGATTGGTTCATTTGGACTGTAGTTTTTCTACGGTGGTATCTTTATATGCGTTCATAAGGATTTTGTTTTTTTCATACATTTCTATTTTGTTTAGGGTTTTTCCGCTTGTCTTGAGGTTTGCTTTTGGGGAAAAAATGACATGTCTTTTTGTATTTTCAGTTTGACTGTTCTAAGGGAGAATAATTTGCCCAATGGGTATTTATTTTATAATAAGTTCTGATTGGAAAACTTGTGAAGGTGAGCTGAATGGGTTATCTTCCCTCTCTAATTATCCTTTTGGTTAAATATTTGGTGCATTTGTATAATACTTGGTAATTGACTTGATGTGGTATTGTTTTATCGAGCTCAGCATATTCGAAGATCAAATATTTTGTATCTGTTGCACTTTTACGGGTTGGTGGTGTTCTTTTTCCTTTGCTCTTCTTGGTTGGGTTGAGTAATACATGTAGCAGCTAGATGAATGATGCTTCATCATGACTGGATAATTTCATTTCCTTCTCTTGTAAAGAATATAAGGATAACATGGGGGTATCATTGAAAAAATACAGTAGTTAAGAAAATTATGAATGGCCCTCACACTCATCTTCCACAATTTTTATTTCTAATCTATCTGTGTCACCAGTAATTTCATCGCAAATTTGGCTTAAAAGGCCTTTGTCACCCTTTTCCTAACATTCAAAAAAAGGTTTTGAGCTTGACTAGTATATATTTAATAAAATCTCCTCTTCATAGTATATAAAATTCTTATAGCATATATTTTTAGGTAGGAATAATTTTCTCTCTTAAAAAAGAATCCTCCTCCTCCTCTCTAGAAACCCTAATATTGTCCGAACTCTTCACATAGCGGCGGTTTCCCGACCGCCGGATGATACTCGGGAAAACCCTCCATCCTTTGCGCAAGTTCTCAATGGCACAAAACCCAGCCCATGCAGCTTGATCTATCCGGCAGCACAAGACAAGAAAGAAGCTTCTTTCATCACATCAAAGCCCTCCCTTTACAAAGGAGAGCCGGCTTTCTTATTGTCCAAAGAAGAGGATGCTAAACTGTTGGCCCCCTTTCAATTCTCACTCGTCGGAAAGTTCTCAAAGGGAAGGCCAAAGATGGATTTTCTATGGCAAAGCTTTCGAACGGTTGGTTTTAAAGGTAATTATTCGCTTGGAATGATTGATCACAGGCACATTCTTATACACTTTGATTTGGAAGAAGAATTCATCGGTGCTGGATTAAGGGGATCTGGTCATTTGATCAGCATATCATACGAGTTCTGAAATGGACTCCGCAGTTCAATCCCTTACAAGAATCATGCATCCATCGTTCCGGTTTGGGTGGCATTTGAAGGTCTGTCTATTCATCGTTTTAATGAAGATTATTTGAGAATCTGGGCAAGTATAATTGGAACCCCTCTCAAAATTGATGTTCTGACCTTGAATTTATCACGGCCCTCCAGAGAGTATGTGTGGAAGTTGATCTTCTACATGAATTTCCACAATGCATTCGCCTTGGAACGGAAGAGCACTCTTACTTCCAAGCAATTACGTGCAAGAATCTTCTAGTATATTATTCAGAATGCAAGAAAATTGGTCATGCTGCGAAGGACTGTCGACACGTGAAATCAAACCTCTAATCAGTGAAAAACTAAAGATGCCTTCGAGTCAAAAAGACGGGAAAGCCACAGTCGCTAGTACCAGTAATCAATTCTGGAAAGAAAAGGTTCAGCCAAAAACATATATTGCTACGGAAGGTGGAAAAACGGCTTCTTCATCAGGCCTAACCGAGACGGAGAAGAAGAAAATTCTGATTGACGTCGAAGCGAAAAGCATACCAATTAAGCCTGTTCCATCAGTAGAAAGAAAGATTTCTAAACATCAACTAAGCTCAATTATTGAAAAGAATGACACGAAAGAAACTAGCTGGGATGAAGAAGTTGCTGGAAAAAATTCAAACTTAGTAGAAAATTTAGGAAAACAGCTCGCTGTTTATGATCCGAAGGTGAATATGTAAACACGCTTTGATGTTTTAGCTGATATGACTGATGATCCAGAGGTTGATGAGGAACAAAAGGAAGCAGATGACTTAGTTAAGGTAGCCGAAAGGGAAAGAGATACAGAGTCTGAGGTGGAAGAAGTTCATCTAGATATAGAGGCAGTACAATCGGACAAGCAGGCTTCAGTTCGAGATGACTTAGAAATTGGATGCCATTCTGAGGGAAGCATGTTACTGGTTACAAGGGCTGTAGAATCAGATGACGAAGGGCAAAAAAAGAAACTAGGCGGCCCAAGGGATCTGTCAAGGGCAAGCAAACTCAGGCTACGGGAACTCGTAAATCATTGAGGCTCAATTGCTACTTTTTATCATTTGTTTCCAATGAATAATCAAATCATCTGGAATATTCGTAGTATTGGGAATAAAGCATCAGTACATCGCCTTAAGAATTTAATAAAAATGCAATATTTTTCAATTGTTATACTTTTGGAGCCTATGTTGCCATCCAGTAAAATGGAAGAAATAAAAAGTAAGATTTGGTTCCAGGAAGCATTCTCGTTTGATTCTAGGAAAATTTGGGTGTTTTTCTCATCCAAATGGTCAGCTAGATTATTGGGAGGTTCAGATCAGGTTCTACACTTTGAGGTTGAAAATAGAAAAATATTTAAAAAGGTCTTAGTTTCTGCTGTGTATGCGAAATCAACAAGGAATGTGCGACATGTTTTATGGTCGGATTTACAGGCATATTCCGATCAGATTGTTGATTGTCCATGAATGGTTGGAGGGGATTACAATGTAATAAGAACCTTGGATGAATACGATGGGAATTCGCTACCAGATCAGGGTTCAATGGATGATTTTAATGCATGGATTAACGGTAGCGGGCTGATTGAAACTACTCCTCTTGGCAATCCATTTACTTGGTCTGAAAATAGGCAGAATGGTCGTGTTCTGAAAAGACTTGATAGAATATTGTTTAATCAGGAGTGGATAAATGCATTTCCAGTGTCTTCGGTGCATCATCTAAGCAGAACGTTGTCGGATCATGCGCCTCTACTTCATCAATTTCACGCGGATGCTGAAACCCGCCGTAGCATTTTTAGGTTTCAAAAAATGTGGATCAGAAGGGATGATTTTGTGGCTGTGGTAAAGGAGAATTGGGAG